TCTAAACATAAAACCTTTAACTAAAAAACTACCAGTGGAATAAAAATGGGAAACAGTGCTATCAGAGTAGGCAAAGACTTCTTAAGTAAGACTCCCAAAGCACAGGCAATAATCCCCGAAATAGGCAAATGGGATTATATCAGGTTAGAAAACTGCATAGCAAGAAGAAAACAATAATTAGAGTGAAGAGACAACCCTCAGAATGGGAGAATATATTAGCAAAATATGCCTTAGATAAAGGACTGATAACTAAAATATACAGGGACCTCAATCAGCTAACCACTAAATAAATAAATAAATAAATAAATAAATAAATAAATACATACATACATACATACATACATACATACATACAATTAATAGATAGGCAATGAGCTAAACAGACAACTCTTCAAGGAAGACATATGAATAGCCAAAAAGCATATGAAATAATGCTCAGTATCCCTTATCATATGGGAGATGCAAATCAAAACCACAATGAGATACCACCTTACTTTAGTCAGAATGGCTAAGAGTAAAAACATAAAGAATGGTAGTAAGTGTTGGTGAGGCTGTGGTGAAAAGGGGACTCTCCTACACTGTTGGTGGGAATGTAAATTAGTACAGCCACTGTGGAGAAAAATATGGAGATTTCTCAAAAACGTACCAATAGAAGTACCATATGATCCAGCAATTCTATTCTGGGTATCTACCCAAAGGATAGGAATATACTCAGTCAGAAAAACACTTGCACATTCATGTTTGTTGCGGCATTATTCACAATTGGTAAGATGTGGAATTAAATGTCCAAGAACAGACGAATGAATTGAAAAAGTGTAGCACAGGACCAGGAGATGACTTAGCCGTTACATTGCTGGGATCCCACATGGCCGACCACGTTTCAAGTCCTGGATGCATTGGCTTGAAACTCACACTGGGCATGTGTGTGTGTAAGCCCAAAATCCCAAGGGGGAGAATGGAGGAAAAGACATTGCAGAGTGGCCATACCCCCTGGGGAGTGACTTTTTACTTTCTGTCTGTCTCTCTCTCTTTTTCTGGCAAGAACACATGCCCTATAGCAAAAATCTTTCAAAAAAAAGAAAAAAAATTAAATAATATGCGGCACATATACAATATGGGATACTTCTCAGTGATACAAAACAATGAGATGCTGACATTTGATAGAAAGTGGATGAATATGGAAGGTTTAATCCTAAGCAAAGTAAGTTGGACTATGAAAGGCAATGAATAACACATATTTTTGAAAATGGAGGTGAAAATAGAGCTAATAAAAGAAACATGGCTAAATGTCCATTTAAGAACAGCTCGATCCTGCTATTTCTTCCTCAACTCAGTAGCCAGGTGAATGTCTCTTTTTCTACCTTGGCAGAAACATAAACTTTTATTCTCTGGAAAAGATAGAACTGAGGGTCTCTAGACTGGAAAGGGATGATAGGGTCACATTAAAATGAAAACAGTATACGATCTAGTGAATGCTTACCTGTGCTGAGACCTTCTCCTATTCTTCCCTATGTTGGTCTCCAGAATGTTGTCAGCTATCCTGCAAGCTACCACCATAGAAGATCCTTCTATGGGGAATTCACTGATTTCCAGAACTATCCAGTGAGATGACCCAGACAGATCATATTGGAATGAAGCTCAGAGTCAGTGATGTTTACTCACGGAGATCTTCTTAAAAATTTCTCTGTGACCCAATAGTCAGGAGTCACCAAATATCTCAGAAACATTACAAACTTTAAGGAATCTTAGAATAACCTGATACGAGCCACAGAAAGGAACACTTGATCAAGCACTTGAACAAACCCTGTCATAATGCCCACAGAAACCATGGTAAACTGCTTCAGCTGTGCTCCTCAGTATTGAGCATGGTGTCTTCAGAGCCATCCTGGAGACATGCCCTATAGTGCCTGACTTTCTGGAAGACCATAAATAATACAGATCCTGGCTCCTGGCAGTCCCCTTATAATCTACTCCAAGTCACTTCCAGGACCTGCCAACCTCTTTCTTGCCTTTATCCTTCTAAAGTCCTCCAGCAAAGTTGTACATCTATCCCTATGCTTACCAGTGGCTCAGGGGAGGTTGTATATGTTAAATGTGGATGGAGTTTGAATGTGTGGCCTGAGATGGCCATGTGTAATTATGTAGTCCCTATAGATGATGGATTGCAGGGTGCTTAGTATCATGAACTACTGGTGCATAATATTATTACAGTTCAAGACACTGATAACAAAAGAAACGTCCTATAAACTTTTTGAGATAAAAAAAGAAAAATACCCACCTCCCAGCAACAAAAATAGGCTATATATAAATGATAAAGAATCAGAAAGACTTCAAAGATCTCATTAATGAAATGAGATGGAATGAAGTTGAGTTTTCAACAATCTGAAGCAAAATAATTTTGAATTATACTTCTATATGGAAATGACCAGTTATGTAAATAAATACAATGAAGATATTTTCATAGATTTAAGGTCTCAGAAAGTTATATCCCATGATGTCCTTCCAAGGGATCCATTGGATAATAGGAATAAATGCAGACATAAAGAATCACAATTCCATATTAAAACAAAAGAGGCAACTCTAGGAATGACTTACTTAAAAATATGAAATCTCTAATGCATATGAGTAAATTTTGAATTGATTTGACAAGTGAAGAGAGTTTGGATTTGAATAAAATAGTATGTTTATAAGAAACTAAATAAAAAGGCAATTTTTGCCTCTATGAAAAAATAAACATTTGGTCAGGAAAAGATAAATACTCAATGTATGAGAGTACTTCAGAAAGTTCATAGAAAATAGAATTAAAAAGTTTGAGTTTATTTTGGTGTAAAAAATCAAAATTCATGAGCAGTCTTTTCATAATATGCATTTCCATAAATGTTTTAAATATGTACAAGTATTTATGGCTTAACTGCAAATCTTAATATAATCAACCCTGACTCTGATGTCTTCAAAGCAGAAATATAAGGATAGGGAGATTAATATAATTATCTTTAGAAGTAGGGGTAGGGGAGGAAGTGTTGGGTGATGTGAAAGATTAATCCTCTTTGCTCATAGTGGGAAGTCAATAGATAGTGCTAAAGATTGAAAGTGTAGTAGCAATGTGACCATGTAGTTTGGTAATTTGGACTCAGAGAGGTAAATAATATTTGAGTGAAAGAAGTTACCCATGAGGAGTACTTGAACCTTGAATAATTACATCACTCTTTAAAACATATTAGTGAATAACCTTTATAAAAATCACATCAGTTGTAGATAATTGGTCACGTCCTTGTCTGTTTCCCCCAGATTAGCTAAGGGTATAAGTATTTTTATATATTATAATATTCCTAGATAAAAGTGAATCTGTCCCAAATCTTGCCATGACAGTCACCAATCCTCTCTTAATTGTCTTTACAATTAAGATTTGAAGCTAATAACCTAATCCAATATTTTTCCACAGAACTCAGTGCTAAATTTATATCCTCTAAATCTAATTTTTCTTCATTTTTCCTCTTTTGGAAGAAAATGAGTGGATATCTACTATAAAGATTCATAAAATTAGAAGTTAAAAAAGAAATTACAGTCTCAAGAAATGATCCTGTATCCCAGAGTGTTGACATGAAATCATTTCAGTGAATTAAAGTGCCTTGATCCTGTAAAGCCTAAGTTTTTTTTCCTTAATAATATGAATTTCTTTCTTTTTAAAATTTATTATCATCATAATCTTGTTTATATTACATTGAATTGCATGTAACTTTACAGTGTATTACATTGCTTTTTCAAAAGGGAATGCCATGCATGTCAGTCAGTACAGAGACATTAAACTCCCCACTTCATCATTCGATATCTTTTCATTGTTTTTCCCAATCATTATCATTATTATTCCAATTATTTTTTTAAAGTCAATCACTATTTCTCATTTTGCTTGTGAAAAGACTTTACCCATCATGAAATACTTCTCAGACCAATCCAGTTGAGAATACTATACATGTCATCAACAGGTAATAAACCATATCTGTGTCCCACTAATGTCATGTCTCTCTATTTGTTCTCTTGCTATCTTTCTCTATCCTCTTCTCATCACCCCCCCCATTCCACACTGTCTTATTATTATTAAGTATTTTCACTGTTTTTATGTCCTCCAATATTTCGCTTTCTACCATAGAGTGCGGATAGTCGGTATATATTAAGTGGATACATACAATATCTTTCTTTCATAGCCTGGCTTACTTCACTCAGCAATAGATCCTCCATATCTGACCACTTTCTATCAAATGCCAGGATCTTGTTATTTTTTTATGGTTGAGTAGTATTCCATAGAGTATATATGCCATACTTTTTCAATACATTCATCAGTTTGTGGACATTTAGGTCAGTTCCATGTCTTGGCAATTGTGAATAATGCTGCAATAAACATTGATGTGCAAGCACTTTTCTGACTGAGCGTTCTCCTGTCTTTCGGGTAAATACCCAGAAGTGGGATTGCTGGATCAAATGGTAGTTCTATTTGTAGATCTTTGAGGAACCTCCATATCGTTCTCCACAGTGGTTGAACCAATTTACATTCCCACCAACAGTCTAAGAGGGTTCCCTTTTCACCAACTCCTTGCCAACACTTATCACTTTTTATATTTTTAATCTTTGCCATCCTGACAGGTGTTAGGTGGTTTTTATCATTGTGGTTTTTATCTGCATCTCCCTTATGATGAGGGCTGTTGAGTATGTCTTCATATGTAAAGCCTAAGTTTTCAGAAGAGGTGGTGACTTGCTAATAATGCAGTCAGGATTACTGGTGAGATTTCCCTAGCTCCAAAACGCTTTCCTTATCTGATCATAAATAAAACACTGATAAGTAGGGATTAATCTTTCCTAATATGAGATTTAATGCAGATATGACTTTAAATATTTATAGATTTATTTCCAGTGGATTTTGACAAGGGTAAGGATGAAGAATAAATGGTGATATTGTTTAAGGCAGCTGTTTTTTTCCTTTTAATTAATTGCTGGTTTATTATAAGGGTGATCGTGGACTTCCAGGCTTTATGGGGCTTCATGGGATGCCAGGATCAAAGGTAAAGAAATTTGTTTCTTTTAAATTCAGTGACGCCATATTTTATTTCAAATTGAAAGTACTTAAAAGTAATTAAATTAATTAAAATAAGTATATTAAAGCAAATGATTGAGTTAAGATTAATATCATAGTTTATATAAAACTTTAAAAGATTCTCTTTAAAGCTTCCCTTAGGAAAGTATAATCTTTTTAAAAATTTTTCTTTAGTCTTTCTATAGGGGGGGTGTGTTTGCTAGAGAGAGAAAAAGTGAAAAATTCCTCCCACCCCCGGGAGGGAGGGATGGCTATCCTGGAATCCTTTTACCTCCGTTCTTCTCTAGGGATTTGGGGAACACACATCATGTGCCCAGTGTGCTTCCCAAGTCATTGGATCTGGGACTTTTTTTTTTTTTTTTTGAGAGGTTTTTGCTACAGGGCGCGTGCGTTCACCAGACAGACAGAGAGAGACAGAGAGACAGAAAGTGGGAAATCACCCCCCAGGGGAGATGGCCATGCCGCAATCCCTTCTCCTCCGTTCTCCTCTTGGGATCTTGGGCACGCATGCACATGCACCTGGTGTGAGTTTAAGCCACCGGGACCAGACGCGAACCACGGTCGACTACATGGGAGTCCAGCGACATAGCCATTACGCTAACTGCTGGTCCCTGGATCTGGGACTTGAACCTTCAAGCCTGTCATGTGGGATCCAGCTGTTTTAACCACCATGCCACTAGCTGGCCTGATAAATATGTAGTCTTACGGTATTTAAAAATTGATGAGTACATTTTACTTCATACAAATCGTCTTAACTGTAAATCCTAAACAAGGGAACCAGCAGTTTGCGTAATGGCTATGTCGCTGGACTCCCACGTAGTCGACTACAGTTCAGATCCTGGACCTGGTGGCTTAAAACTCACGCCGGGCGCGTGTGCGTGCGTGCCCAAGATCCCGAGAGGAGAATGGAGGAGAAGGGATGGCTGCGTGACCATCCTCTCTAGGGGGTGATCTCTCGCTTTCTGTCTCTATGTCTCTCTCTGTCTGTCTGGCGAGCACACGCTCCCTATAGCAAAAACCTCTCAAAAAAAAAAAAATCCTAAATGATAAGCCCTATTACAGTGCTAATCATAGTACTAGGGAAAAAAACCTGGACAGTAAAACTTCTGTAAACTTTAGATAATTACATTTCTGTTTTATTTTGGTGTTGGGATATTAGATTCTCTTTATGTTGCGTTGTTTTCTTTGTAAGGAAAAAATACTTTTGTAAAATATATTGTGTTTCATTTTGTTATTTTGTTTCATTAGGGTGAAATGGGCCCCAAGGGAGAAAAAGGATCACCTGGATTTTATGGCAAAAAGGGAAGTATGGATCACGCAACAAAGAATCCGAATGTAACTTTTCATGTAATGCGATGGAAAATTTGAACTGCAGTCTCAGTGCAAGATTACATCAGTTAACTTTGTTCACCCTTTTCAGAGGATTAATTTAGAACTGAGAGAGAGAGGGAATTAATTGGTGACTGCTATGCATGATATTCTATGAGTACATTATGTTATTGATCATTCTGAACTTTTAAAATATTTACAGCGAGAGATCCCCCTGATAAGCAGGAGCTGCTTAAAAACATATCCACTCTACTTGTATTCTTGAAAAAAATTATCCACTGAGAGTTAGTGTAATGGCCCTTCCTATTTCCACACTGAAGGAAGGTCATTATTCTTTGTATAGTTTAAAACCTCATTACTTTAAAATTTTTACCATGATAGAGTTTCTGTGTCTGGATGCCCATAATAATAATTCTGTATCTACCAACATTTTAAAATATCTTACATTTTATCCATGGGCTGGTAAAATAATGCTTTGGCAAAATTTGCAGGGCCAATATAAATTGTAGTTTCTTGAGTTCTATCACTACGTAATAAAGTTAACTTAGTAACGTTCTTATTTAGTATTCAGTTGAAACTTGAAAATTTACTAGAAGGATTGTTTTTTAAGTGTGTATTTTTCATGTAGGGTGCAAAAGGTGAAAAGGGAAATCCTGGTTTTCCTGGTCTTCCTGGACGTGCTGTGAGTTTTGTAGAAAAATGTTCTTGAGTATTTTATTTTATAAAGAAAAAAGCTAACGCAAAAATATATTAAAACGACATGTTATCTATTTTTCAGGGGGAACCAGGAAGACATGGGAAGGATGGATTAATGGGGAATCCTGGTTTCAAGGTATTTACCAAAACAAAACAAACTGTAAAAGATTTTTGTGCTCTGTGAGTGAACATTTGAAGAATAGCCCAATATTAGAATTTTTTATGTGTGACATTGGGATAAAGTTAAAGAGTTGAAAGTGTTTTTAGCATAATTATAAGAAAATACTAAATTTTCTTTTTTTTTTGGTAAACGCTTATGTGTTAAAAATAAAATTACAGAGTATTAAAAATATAAATTTTTGATAAACTATTTGGATTGGTTTATTTGGTGGATTAGAAGCAGAAGTTCTTTGTTGTCTTCTAAGGAATTAGGGTTTCAGGAGAAAAAAATCTAGTATGCTTAACCCTGAAGACTTATTTGTCGGTTATATGATATGATATTAGTATGAGGTAATTAGAGTGAGAGAAATCTGCAATGATCTGCCAATCATTTATCATCTCTAAAACATCTCAAAGGTACAGGCCCTTATGTTGGTGGATTAGCACTATTATATTCTAACATAAAGAAACATTTTGAGCAAATAGGTGGGGTGATGGTTAAGGCTCTGGACTCCCACATGGCTGTGATTCAAGTCCTGGACATTCTAGCTTGCTTTTTCAATTTCTCCCTCTCTCTCTCTCTCTTTCTCTCTCTCTCTCTGGTGAGCTCATGTGCCTTACAGCAAATTTAGAAATAATAATAATAAGTAAAATTAAGTGTATAATTCTTTAAACAAAAGGAACTTTTTATTTGCCAAGTATCAAATAGAAATGAACTTTTTATGGTGTAGGTTGTTAGAATAAAAAGACTTCAGTCTTATATATGTGTTAAAGTAGGTGTACATGGAATATGAAAACAGCCCAAGTGACCACCATGTCATGGTCCCACTAAAGAGGATTTGTACAATTCATTACAGCTGAAGATGTCACTTGACGAAGGATTGATGTTAGGGACATCATTATACGATTCAAAGGTTGGCCCTTTGAAGGCCAGACTTGCTCAGAAATCCAGTCCATGTTCTCTTAGTCTGTAGTTATATCCTCTTCCTTTGGGGAAATTGTCCATTTATTTGCTTCAAGTGTTATGAATGTTCTTTAAATAGTAATAGTTCCTCAAAAAGTATAGGCAATGCTTTCTAAGATAACAGTAACCTGAATGTAAGTAATAGCATCCATTTTGAAAAGCTTGGTCCCCTCTTATTTTATTACTCTAGTATATTTGTCAAAACTAAGAAACCAATATTGACATATTACTGTAAAGTGAACTCCATCCTTTATTTGAATTCATTAGTTTTCTACTAATAGGCTTTTTCTTTTCTAGAATCTTATTCAGAATACCACATTACATGTATTCGTAATGCCTCTCTAGTCTCCACTGATGTGTAATAGTTTATCAGTCACTTCTTGATTTTTTATGACTGACAGTTTTAGAATGTCACACAGTTTGGGCTTGGCTGATGTGTTTCTTGTGATTGTACTGGGATTATGTTATTGTTTTCTTGGCGGGGAAGATAGTAAGTGCTGTTCTCATCATATCAGAGTGTACATGCTATCCACATGACTATGTATTGGTGACATTAACCTTGATCACTTGGTTAAGATAGCATTTACTGGGTTTCTCCATTGTGAAGTTACTTTTGCTTTCTTTCCATATTCCATTCTTTGGAAGTATGTGGCCATGTCCAGCCCTTACTCAAGATGGAAGTCAGGGTTAAATTTTAACTCTCAGAGGAGGAAGTATTTACATATTCTTAACATTTATTTGGAATTACCATCTTAACATTACTGAGTCTTCTAATCTATGAATATGAAATACAGTTCTACTATGTAGGTTTTCTTTATCTAAGAACTGTTTTGTAGTTTCTTTTTTAAAAATTTTTTTAAAAAGATTTTTGATACAGGGTACGTACGCTCACTGGAGAGACAGATAAAGAAAAGACAGAGAGACAGAAAGCAAGAAATCACCCTCTAGAGGGGATGGCCACACCACAAGCCCTTCTCCTCCATTCTCCTTTTTGGATTTCAGGTAGAATTTATTCTCCTTGTATTTTGTTCACTGCTCTTTAGATAATATCTGCTGCCTCATGGCCAGGTCCTGTGCTCTCTTAGTGTGTAACATCCTGCATTATAAAGGTTCCCAGGAATTCTCCTTATGGCTTCTTTCATATATTTATTCTCATATGTAGTATCAGTTCACGTTAACCCAAGTTTATTGAATCCTGCAGCATCAAAATGCCATTTTTGAATACCATCCAGCTACCAACCTGAGGTTACAATGGCTGACCTGCTCGCCATTTTGACCTGAGAGGCCTGCTCTTATTTTCTTAATATGGTATATAATATTAATCAATTTTTGTATGTTATACTAAATTTGCATGATTGGAATAATCCCCATTTGTTACCTTATTTTATCCTTTTCATATATGACTTGGTCCAATTTGTGAATATTTTATTAAGGCCTTTTCTATCTATGTTTGTGAGATATATTGGTCAATAATTTTCTTATGATATTTTTGTCTGGAGTTGGTATCAAAGTAATACTGGTTTCTGTTTTCTGAAAGAGTTTATGTAGAATTGGTATAACTTACTCCCTATATGTTTGGTAGAATTCACTCCAAAGCATTTCTAGGCCTGGGAATAGATGTGTTTTTGTGTAAAGAACATTTTAATTACTAGTGGAATTCCTTTACTAAATATGGAGCTCTTTATATTTTTTTCTTTTTCTTGTTAAGTTTTGGTCCTTTGTGCTTTTCTTGGAATGTGTCCATTTCATCTAATTTTCAAGTTTATTGGCATATTTTTCTTACAATATTGCTTTATTCTTGTTCTTTTAATATCTATATGATTCATAGCTATGTTCTGTGTTTCATTCCTAATATATGTTTTGTAATAATGGTTTCCTATTGATACTTACAACTGAAATCAAGCAGTGTATTTTCTCATATTCCTTTCTGTCATGTGGGCCTGATCTTTTTGTTTGTTTGTTTTGTTCTTGGATAACTTTCCCTATTTCTTACATGGAAATTGATCTACCAAAGGTTTCTCCTCTCTTGTAGGGTCAGTAATAACAAAATTCACTCTCCTAGGAACTTAGAATTCCATCTGGATTATTTAAGTGATTTGTGCAAATTCTTCTTATAATTTTTTCTGCCTCAGAGATTACTATCCCTTTGTCATTTCTTTGAATATTTATGTTTTCACTCTCTGCTTGACTAGATACATTTTTGGTTTTTCTATCTTGTTCTTATTTGATGATTCAACATAATAATTTAACTACTAACTTTATAGATGTTTCTGATATCTGCTTTTATTTATACTATATCCTTTTGTTTTGCTACATTTTTCTTTTACAATTGAAAACTGGATTTATTTATTTTCATCCTTTATTATTTTGCTCTAAGTAGTGAAATTATGAATAATTTTCTTATTATTACCCTAATTCCACCCACTTAATTCAGTTGTGTGATATTTTCATTAACATTTTTTGAAAATTTGCAATTTTGTTTTTTATCTGTCTTTTTCTAAAAGTTGTTTAAAGAGTTAAAAAATTGCTTTTAGGTTGAAAGGACTTTTATTCTTTGTCAATTTCTGGTTTTATTTCACTGTATCAGAAAATGTGTCTTGTAAATTTCTTCTTTATGTGATGGAATTTTTTTTCTTTGACATGTTATATGTTTGATTTTCAGGAATGTTCCTTGTGAATATGAGAAGGTAAATCTCTGCTTTCAGAGTGTGAAACTCAACATAAATTTATAAGATATACATTATTGACTATCTTATTTAGGTCTATATACTTACATTTTTTTGTTTGGCCTGTATTGGACAGAGGTGTTATATTTGTGGCTTAATTATTATTGCATTTTTGTCTGTTTTTCCTTCCATCTTTTATCTCATGAATGTGGCTTTTATGTTATTTATTACATAGATTTCGTAACCACTATGTCTTAATAGTAAATTGTAGCCTTGGCATTATAAAATATTATTGTCTTCACTAATTTTTAGCTTGACCTCTGCTTTATCTTATGTAGAACTATATTCCCCCTTTCTGATTACTTTTTTGCTTGTAGTACCTTCGCCAATCCTTTTAGCTTTAGTTTTTTGAATCACTGACTTAGTGTGTCTCTTATATCAAGCATGGAGGTAATCTTTGGTTTTTAAAGTACTCTCAATTTTTTTCTCTTAATAGCTTACTTAAGTCTATTTCTAGTCATTGACTAATAGGTTTGGTCTTTGTCATAATGCTGAGACCAAATTTTGTTATTGTTACTGTGAACATTATGCTATACCTACTATGTTTCTTTCTCAATGTAGTCATTTGCCTTCGGAAATATTTTGCTTTTAAATTCTTTGAGATTTAGAAAGATTTATATTTTGTTGTAATTGTCTTTATTCTAAGATCTTTATAGTCTTTACAAATATATGTTTCGAAATTTCCTTGTTTTTTTTTTTTTTTTTGCTTTACTTAAGCATCAATTCTTTGTTGTGTTAACTTTTTTTAACTTACAAGTGCACTGTAATTTTCTTCTGAAACATTTTTTATAAAATTAATTAATTAATTTACATTCATTCCCTGTTCATCATCATGGCATACCAAATGTGATTTTCCATCCAGAATATACTGCACAGTGGCTTAATCATGCATGTTATCATCAATAATTTTCCATTTCTAGTTTCATATATATGTGTATATATATATATATGTATATATATATGTATATATATTTTTAACCACTATTTCTCACTCTCTGCCATTTCCCACCCCCTTCTCACACTATGTCACGTGTCTACAGTTGTTTTCCATTCCTTTTTTGCCACTATTAATTCACAAAATTTCTTAAATAATCTAACTACTTCCAATAGCAAGTTCAGCTGGTATGTACATATCTGTGAATACATGTCTGACTTTAGGTGTGAAACTCTGAGTAAAATGAATATACTATAAGGTAGCACCTAGCTGATGCTATATAGCTTACTATGGTCATTTAATAAGTATTTTTAATATATTTTTTAATTTCAAGAAAAGCAGTTTTAGCTTTA